TTTTGTGTGTTCTGTTTCGGGATTGATTTAATTTTGTTGTATGTCATGTCACTAATCGTTACCTTCCCTTTCAGGTACCTAATCATAGCATTTCCTTCTATCCTATTTACTTTTTTATCTTCTTTGATGATTCCTATGTCATGTCACTAATCGTTACGTTCCCTTTCAGGTACCTAGATCATAGCATTTCCTTCTATCCTAAACTTTCCCTATTTTCTTTTTGATTCCTCCCGGGTGTGCGGTCGCGCGTTTGCTCTCATTTGCTGTGAATGAGAGCAGCGGCTTCCACGTGGCCGCATCCCCAGGTGTTAAACAAAGGTAAATCATCATTCTTATGAAGATGATAACCAGGTATCAATTCAAGCGCAAAACAAGCCTCTGATATTGATGCAAGACCGTTTGCATTTACCTTCACGAGGTTGCACCTGTTTCATACAGAAATATGTACGGATCTCGTTTTGATCCACTAGATTTATCATACGTCTGAGTTTATCTATGGGATTAAAATTAAATTATCATAATTTTAATTTTAATTGTTAATTAATGAAATTAACGTGCGTGTGGGCGCGCACACAAAAGTCGCCGCCAAGGTTGTCTCTCTGTCGTTCCGTTACGTCTATAACGACGCCGTTGACATTTCGCTGCCGCGTCTCTTCACAAAAATACAAATAATAAACGCAATAAAGATTCATCCGACGTTCCAATATAATTGCTCTCTCGCGTTTTCACGTAGTGCAAGAGACGTACATAAAATTGATCCATATTTGGTGACTCGCGGCCGTCTTTAAACCGAAAAATCAAAGAAACAAAAGAAGAGTGAAAAAAGAGAGAAAGAGTTGGGTTATATATTTTATGCAATCATTCCTCTCTTCCAAAGAACGAACGAGTCATTCGCGATGAGCTCAGTTTGATTAACACTAAGCAAAAACAAAAAAATAAAATAAGATTTAGACAAGAAATGATTTGGAATCAAGGTCTCTCTCTTTTTTTTCGTAACTTAATTACATTTCCTATTCGACCGTAAAAGGAGCGGAATTAAAAAAAGGAGTTTGATTGAAAAGAAAACGTCGTGTTAATAAACATCAATCAAAAAAATAAAAATGAAAAAACATATTGAAGAGTGATAGAAAGACCAAATAACTAATAAACAAATTGCGTCTCTCGAACTACTACTACTACTACTGTGTATTCAATTCCGTCCAAATTTGGATTTAATTATGATTGAATCGTACAACTCGATTATTCCTTCCTCCTTTTTATCCATGCTTCTTTTTTCTTCCTCGTGTAGTTGATGATGATGATGATTCATCTCCCCCAAAGAATCATCGTGACTCTCATTTATTTTTCACACCTACTAGATTATTGTTGTAGGAGTTTCTTTTTTTTGTTCATTACATTTCTTCATATAATTTATTGATAGTTATTATTACGTCCATCCAATTAGCAGGTATTGCATGTTGAGTTTGTATGATTTTAATGATACTAATTTCGTTGAATTGTTTCAGAAAGTCTACTTAGAAACTTTGGTTTTTGGTTGGAAGAAGTTTGATGGAAAATTAACTTTGATTACCTCACGCATCCACGCTTTATTCCACGACTATTTCATCAATAAGGTAAATTTAAGAAAAACAACATAAATCATATAGTAATAAGTTTGTTAGTTTTGAAGTACTCTAATTTTGTTAAATTGTTTCAGAAAGTCTTCTTAAAACTATTGATTTATGTCTGGAAGAAGTTCTTAAGAGAGTATTACATTGACTATCCTACGCATCCACCCTTCAATCAACAAATTTCATCAATATCATTTAGGTAAATATAAATAATCTATTAAAATATGTGTGATTGTTGTAGCAATTATTGGAGGAAAATGAAGTCTGTTTACTATATGTGTAGACTATATAGACTCATGTTCTTATAATTATTACATAACTAGTCAATCGAATCAGCAGGTGTATAGTATATTGAGTTTATTAGAAGTGTACTAATTCTATTAGTTTCTTTCAGAAAATCTTCTTAAAACTATTGATTTATGTTTACAAGAAGTTCTTAAGAGAGAATTACATTGACTACCCTACGCATCCACCCTTAATTAGCAAAGACTATTTTAAGAATATTATTCAGGTAAATATAAATCTATTAACTAATAATTAGTGTAGTTATTAATAATTTTGTTTCAGTTTAAAATATGTGTGCTTGTTGTAGTAATTATTGGAGTCTGTTTACTATATGTGTAGACTATATAGACTCATGTTCTTATAATTATTACGTAACTAGTCAAACGAATCAGCAGGTATATTTTACATTGAGTTTATTATAAGTTTAGAAGTGTACTAATTCTATCAATTTGTTTCAGAAAATCTTCTTAAAACTCTTAAGAGAAAATTACATTGACTACCCTACGCATCCACCCTTAATTAGCAAAGACTTTCATTAAGGTAAATATAAATAATCGATTAATTAATAGTTAGTGTAATTATTAATAATATTATTTTATATCTGTCCTTGATGTAGCAATAGTTGGAGAAAAAGGAAGTCTGTTTACTATTTGTGTGAACTATATGGACTAATATAATTATTACGTAACTAGTCAATCGAATTAGAAGGTATATAGTATATTGAGTTTATTATAAGTTTAGAAGTGTACTAATTCTATTAATTTCTTTCAGATACTATTAATTTATGTTTGGAAGAAGTTCTTAAGAGAAAATTATATTGGCTACTACCCCACGCATCCACCCTTCAATCAACAAAAACTATTTCACCAATATCATGCAGGTAAATATAAATAATTTTTAATAATGTTGTTTCAGTTTAAAATATGTGTGCTTGTTGTAGCAATAGTTGGAGGAAAATGAAGTCTGTTTACTATATGTGTAGACTATATAGACTCATGTTCTTATAATTATTACGTAACTAGTCAATCGAATCAGCAGGTATATTGAGTTTATTATAAGTTTTGAAGTATACTAATTCTATTAATTTGTTTCAGAAAATCTTCTTAAAACTATTGATTTATGTTTAGAAGAAGTTCTTAAGCAGGTATATAGTACATTGAGTTTATTATAAGTTTAGAAGTATACTAATTCTATTTGTTTCAGAAAATCTTCTTAAAACTATTGATGTTTAGAAGAAGTTCTTAAGAGAAAATTACATTGACTACCCAACGCATCCACCCTTCAATCAACAAAGACATGCAGGTAAATATAAAAAATACATACAACAAATATAAGTTTTAATTATTCTTAATTGTTGTAGATAATACTTTTTTAAGTCTCAAGTATTGTTTTAAGAGAAATATTTGAAGAACGCAAGTATATTTACTTGTTATGCTCAGTCTACATGCACAAATATTGTTAATTCAATTTTTACAATGCTATAAAAATATGGATCCAAGCGTACATTTACAGACAGACATTGTCTCTTCTCGAATATAAAAGTAAGTACTAAAAGTCTATATATAGACTACACTTATTATTATCGTACGATTTTTTTTTCTTAATATTCGCTCGTTGCATAACGTCGCGTCGTCCTTTTGCTCTTCCATGGATATTTGTTTATTATTGTGTCTGCGATAAAAGTATTCGCATCGCGACTCCCAATTATATATCTGACACCTCCACTGCATACTAATTCCACGCAGACTAATTAAATCCGAGTTATTCGTAGTGCAAACACGCTGTTAGAATTCAATTTAAAGTCAATGTATTTATATGAATGATCATGCAATAATTAGTTAAGTTAAAGTAATATTTTAATATCGAAACTAATTGTTAATCGAAGTGCTAATTTTTATACTCTTTTTTTGAAGGTTTTTCCGACGTTCAATTATAAACCCATCGTTTGAATGTGGTACAAGGTATTTGAAGGAGCCGAAGGACGGGGAGATAATAAGGAAACTGCGTGGAATATAGGATCGAATCGGAGTGAGAGATAAAAAGGAGAGGAAAACGCCGTTTGATATCAAATTGTAAGTGTGATTACATGTAGATTTTTATTGCGTCTTAATCTAGTCTTGAAGATGAACTCAATTTTGACTAATTTTTGTTTCTTCAAATACATTTAAAGTTTCATTTCAATCGCAATACGTGCGAAGTAATTTCCTTCTCAGATATAAAATCGAAGCTGTTTCTATTATTATACATTATTAACATAGATAAAAGAAAGGAGGTTTTACTTAAAGATTGAAATATACGGTTTTCCTGGATCGTTACGTTACGTTGAATGCTGTAAATCAATTGTTGTAGACATAAATTATTTAATTCGATATTCCTTAAATGATTAAGGATAATAATTTAATGTTTCAGCGAAGCGGTGCTATTCATTCCGAGAGGAAGACGTCTCGCGGAAAGGGCAAACGGATAATTTTATGCGAAGAGAATGGACGAACGAACGAACGGGGAAGAGTAATGTCGGATTCTTCATCGTCTCGCATTTTCCGCTTCTCCTCTTGATAATTATTACGCAAAAACGAGGTAAGAATGCAGGTTACTAGAATCTTGTGTCGTTATTATTATTATTATTATTAATCAGAGAGAAGAAATATAGAGAAGTGAAGATGCGATTGAGAAGAACAAAAAGAGGACGTTTGATATTGTTTTTGATATCCTTGAAGCCTTGATCTTTGTTCTTTTTTTTCGTAAATATCGTCTTCTCTTCTACTTATTCCTCTCTCCTCTCTTATTTTTATATTCGCAGTATCTGTTTCTTCTTTTCGTCTGTTCGCATTTGCGGACGCCCTTCGATGCCCGAAAAGGACTGAGGACCTTGGTGGCTCTTTGGGTGCGAACGGAAAGCGAGAAATGACGAAAATAGTATTTATGACATCACCGACGTCGACTAGGAAATAAATAAGACTTTTGCGGATATTAAATTTAATTTAATATGACAATTTCAAACAAAAACCGTCGCAAATCGAATCGGCGTAAAATGAACCATTATTTACAGTGAGGCAACTATAGGGTTTAGTTCTATATAAATGTAAAATCATCAATTAATAAGCGTTATTTCGCAGCGGCTTTATTGTGAATCGGCGTAAATCGAATCGGCGCAAAACGACGTTTACCTGTATACCTGTAGACTTTACTAATTGTTCAAATGTTTGTTCAATTGCTCTGACAGACGGTTGACATATGACATGTGACATATGACATAATTTGAGAGGTTACTTTTTGCAACTTATCAACAACATTCAACAATAATATATTTAGCATTTAGATTTTCATTATTAATTCGTGATTGGAATAATATTCGTCATAATTTGAGAGGTAATTTTTTCTTTTCCCCACTTGACGACAATTAAAGTTTTATTCATAGTTTACGAAGAAATCAATGATGATACATTGACATACTTATTTGACACGTTACATTCTCGGAAGTTTGTGGAATTGTATCTTTCCTTTGAAAGTAGGGATTTCTTGTTTTCGTTTACAATAATTAGAGTTTCGACAAACAATTAATCACCAAAGTTTTCGAATCGAATCGATTTGCATAAATTAACAACAAAACTATTAAAATTTTTGATACGTATTTACGATGCGAACACACATTCACACGCTCTCATCTCATTATCTTTGAGATTCAAGGTTAATTACCGAACGCACGCAGCTTTCGGTTATATATATATAATACAAATTGAATCGGTTATCGCGAGCATAAAGAAGATTATTAATTGGTGACTTTTTTTTTTGTTGTTGTTATGGTAACTGAATCGATTGAGCCATAAACGAGAAGAAGGCGACGGCATCAATTTGCGTGATTTGTTTTTGACGTTCGACAAATGTCAAGGATCCCGATGCTCTCTACTCGCGTTCGTTATTAAAACATTATTACGATTTGAAACATTTCCTACCAATTCCATCTTCGAATCGTAACCGAAAATTTAATTGCGAAACGTTTTTTGTTGTTGTTGCAATCTATCAAAATAAATAAAAACCGCAATTGGAAATACAAAGCCAACTGAGGTGTAAAGATAACCCGTTAACGGTTTCCGCAATTAACCTACTTGATAATAATATAAAGTAAATGTTTCGAAATCTGCAATCGATTCATTTCTATATTTAAATACACTATTTATCATTACTGTTTTTTTTAGATTTAATGTGGATTTTCGTTTCCGGGATTTCATCATGTAGTCGCCGACGATGATCACCATCATCATTGAGCATTCTGCAGTCATCGCACTTTTACTCGGTGAGTTGTGATCTGCGTCAACGCTATAATAAATAATGCAAACGTTTTTACATCCAATTGAAGACAAATCGGAAACCTTCTAATGCACGCAGCAAACAAACACCGCAAACGGTTGTTTCTTTATGTGAAACGTACACAAATATTTTGATTTTTGATTCATCCAAAAATTTTACTCGTTAATGTGTCGAAACGTGTTTGGAAAGTGCATGTTGCTATCTTGTTTAAACTCGGGTGTTCCGTGGGGATCGGTTCTGGGCTCTACAACTGTTTGCTAATTGCAAATGTTTATGTTAGAAGAAGAAAAAATACGTTTTTTTTTGTTCCTCTCTCGCTTGATTAATTATTAGTTTCGATTGAGTAGGTAGACAATGAGCAATTACAGTCTGAATGAATTGACTTAACGTAGGAATTTATGTGTGTGTGTGCGCGGTAATTAAGAGGATGGAAATGACTTCCGGATTATGAATTTAATTGCAGGCGTCTGTCGTGTTCATTGTTACACGTCGATTATCGTTTTGCAGAATTCATAAGAGGTGAACAGACTCGGAAATTTAATTAATTGCATTGCAAATATAGTTTTTCATTTTGTCAATTTTTCAAAGCGTTAAGATTTTGCGGTAAACCGAAATCGACTCGTGTCGCAAACATAAAAGAACTAATAACAATTAGAGCGTCGCATAGCAACAGAAACAAAATAATAATACTAGCAAGTACGTAACCAGGAAGTCGTGGAAACAACAGGTAGTTTGGTTAAATGAAAGACGAAACAAAAGCATCTGGTAATTGCGAACCGTGCCAAATTACGAAGCCCCAAAAATAATTTTAAAAAAAGTACACACATTCAATTACATCATCCTCTTCTCTTCTTTCTTTCTTTTTTTGTTGTTGTTTTTGCAATTGTAATATTCCGAAATGTATTTTTTAAACATTGATATTTCGTGTCTCGTGCAACAAAATACGACTTTAATAATTTTGCAATCTCATCGTTAAGAGGACGTTAAACTCGAATCACCAATTGACCGTTCACAGCTGAACTTGCAAATTATCGTTGCACTTTTTTTGTATTATTTCGCACTTTTCACTGATTTACGCGTTATCATTTTCACCAAACGGAACAAAATAGTAGTAACAAAAACAAAGGAAAGGCCGATGTCCGATTTCACTTGATTTCTTCAAGGTTGAAATAGGAAATAAAAAATAAAATAGAAATAAAACTTCACAATCCAATAGAGTTTGCACCGTTTCCTAGACGATACTTTCAAGGTGTTTTTCGTTGCGTTTCTTCATAAAGAAACTGAAGCTTTAAGAAGACAAGTAAAAAAAAAAGTGAATAATAATCGAGGAAAACGAAAACCGCAGTTCGCGATGTTATTAATTTAATTTAATTTGGCGCGGGTCACGGTTGAGGTGTGCTTTACGTGAAACGAGCGGCGTCGTCGAGCACAAATCCTCCGGTAAAAAGAGGTTTACTTCTTCTTGTTTGTTTGTTGGTTGGTTGGTTGGTAGGTTGTACTTGCTGTGTATCAAAAGCGGGATTCTTGTCCTTTCCGTTGGACTTGGCAACAAAGAAGTCATCGACTTTTGAGGTGAGATATTTAAGGATTTGTCTTTTGCGTTCGATGATCGTTGTTCTTGTTGTTGTTGATGTTGTTAATATATTATTAATGTGGTGTGTGCGTGTTTATGTTTCAGATGGTTGTGTTGGGAGATGAAGAAGACTTACCGATATAAAGAGAACGCTTTAGAGATTTTGCAGCAGGGGATAAAATCAAAGGGGGACCAAAAATGTGCATATTCTGATGCTGATCCAGCGCGCGTTCGATCGGATTTGTATTTCGGAATCCGTAAGTACAATTACACTTGGATAACCTGTACATACGCTATTCGCACTTTTACGGATGGTTTATCTTCTGCAAGATGCAGATTTTTTTTTGATGTTGTTGTTGTTGTTGTTTGTTTGTTCTAGGAGCAAACGCGAGGTCCGAGCGCGGTCAAATGCAACGGCGGCGATGGCATCGCGCAACTTTATAACGCGAGGAAAAAGAGAGCGAACGACCGACGACCCATGGTCTCCCAATGGTATGGAATGGAATGGAACGGTGTGGGTACCGCATCGAGCGGAATGGAATGGTACGGATAGAGATGGAATGGTGGAGAAGGAGGAGATGGTAAAGAAGGAGATGGTAGGTAGTAGAGTAGAGTAGAGTCGTCGTAGTCGTCTTCTTCTTCTTCTGCACTTCTTCTCTCGCAAACGCACCCCACCTTTTCCTTCCTTCCGTCTGGTCTTCTTAGTAGGGTCACTCACTGGAGGAGACCATGACCTTACAATTTGTTGCACCATCATCATCATCCTCATCATCATCCTATTTCCATCCTGCTGCTACAAAGATATTGCATTTCTCTTCCTCTGTCGAATCACAGAACCACCCAAATCGATATCCTGATTTGAGAATCAATCATTTATATTTACTCTTAAGACAAAGTCTGCAGTATTAATTGTTTATTTTCACGTTAAAACAAAATTTAACAAATTTTAAAGAATTGAATGTTTTAGAAAAAAATGCGGTAAATATCTTTTGATATTTTACCAATTAACATTCAAGTGCATTAGCTATTTATAGTTATTAGTTATTCTCGAAAGACTTTTTCATAATGAAGCCGGAAAGTGGAGATTTAATTCAATCCATTCTATTTCTTCTCAAAATAAACAAAAAAAAAAACAAACAGTAACGAATTAAGTTTGCTTGTGCTTCGCGATATTAAATTGAATTTAAGTTTTTCTTTCTTTCTTTCTGATGCTCTTTGCTTTTTCTTTTGTCTTGAGGTGAGAAAATTGAATGCGCGTCCACTAATTTCAACGCCCTTAAACATGCAATTGTCCATCTCATCTTTAATTCTTTTTTGTTTTGTTTTCACTGCTGCTTCGAGTGCAAGAAGAGAATTGTCCAATTTGAGTGCATTTACTGTCGCTTTTCCGTTTCTCTTCCTTCTTTTTTTTTTATTTAGTCTGGAAAACATTAGTCCGCGAGGAACGAACGAACACATCCGCCCTAGCGTAACATTTTTCATTATTAAGACGACCTCGACAGTACAAATACCTTTACACCTATAATTTGCAACTGCCAAGGACGGCGAAACTTTAACCATTCCGTTCTTGTTTTATTTTTATTATTTTTTTTGGTTCTTTCGCCGTCATTCATCGTTCCTCTTTGTGCAATTTCGTTTGAAATCTCGATAGAATTCGAATTCGGAATTTTTATTTTGTAAAGAAGATATCTCTTGCTTGTTATATGCAAAAATAAAAAGGTTAAAAGGGGAAACACGACAACGCGCGGCCGTGTTTCTTCGTCGAACATTTTTCGGCTCCACCGAAACACGTGCATAACAAATAATATATATATATGTGTATCGAAACGCGCTATTGTCCAAGTCAGATCGGAGATTGTAATTACAACAATATACATCGGAGTCGTGCGGTTGAACTACAAGAGGAAAAAGTGCTCGAACGAACGACATCTATCGAATTACGCGACAACGTAATGACATTTACCTGTCACTTTTTAAAACTAATAGATTTTATTTTTTTTCAACGTTGGTAACAAAAATTAACTTTAATTTTGAGTCAACTTTAAATTTCCGATGGTTGGCATTATTTTGATTGTGTTCTGATTTTCCAGTTTCGTTCCATCGAAATGCGTACGCGCAGCAAAACATGAAATATAAACGTACTTTTGACCATATTGAAATAAGCTTTTACTCGTGGCACACTTACGGCAGTTTTGCGGTGACTTTCTGAAATAAACAATGCGATCCATAAACGCATTCAAATTTATCGAGAATTATTTACTTATCTTTTTTTTTTGCATACGTTGAGCAACTTGGCGCGATGCTCTCGAAAGAAAGCATAACTCGCAATGTTTCTTCCACCCTAATTGACATCTGTCAATTTGCAAATTGTACCAACTTAAATATTTGACACTTGACATTTACATAACATCACTAACATTTTATATTTTAGGATTATTATTGGATTAGAAAAGAAACTAATTTAAGTTTAATAATCGTTATTGCGAAGCATTGAAACGCACCGGATCCTTTCATAATCCTTCTTTTTGCATTAATCGCTTTCACGGTGATTCGAAATAGAATGCAGAACGTTGTTTGCGTTTTCTTTATTTCTAATGAATTCATCTGGAAATATCGAAAAACGAACTGCAATAATCTCTCACCAACCATCATCATTAATTCTCACTTTCACTCTTGCAAACTTGAACAAAACAAAAACAAAAGACACATTTTTCAAAGATTGTCCCCAAACTAAAAAAAAAACGAAAACAATGCGAGAGAAGCGATCAATCTCAATCATAGGACTTTCCCAATGAAATCCGTTCGAAATGTTAAATATTCACATTTAAAATTTGCGTTTAAGAATTATCGCGTAACAGTCGTAGCAGTAATGATTTCGTTGTTTTTACTCCATCATTTTTTTTGTTTTTTCTAAGCACTTGACATTTACAGCTAAAAATTAATTAGATTTAACGATTCGTTAATTATATTAAATTGAGCATAGATGAACTTAACATGTTATTTTTTTTAGCTGCATGTCTCTCTCTTATTGTCATGACAACGGTTATTGCAAAATATTGTCTGAGTGTAAACAACAAGACTAATGTGTTTCGACCGTATAAATAAGTTTTACGGTAACCTTTTTATATAATTTGGTGCACGGAATTAAATGGATCGTTGCTACGAAACGAACACTCACACACACACAAAAAAAGCGAATCGTTTCTCAACTTCTTTTGTCTTTTTTGTTGAGTCATATAGTTGAAAGTAGAAATTCGAGCATATTATTATTATTATGATACATATTCAAATTGCGTAATAAATAAATAAATTCTTCTTAATTTTCTTATAAATTTTCTTATAAATTTTCTTATGTTTACAGGATAATTTCCTGAGATAATTTTGAATTGGATAATTATGCAACCAGAGGTACGCGTAACAGTTGTCAATAATTTGAAAAGGTTTGCGCGTTGCTACGCGACGCTCTCTGGACAGTTAAACGTCCTTGGTTCCGGATCCTGTTCGGACGGGCGGCAGATTCGAACTTTCGAAAAAGGTATGTGAAATTAGTACCGATACAAATTTGCAATAACAAAATTAGATACGTCAGTTGGACGTTTAAATGTCAGAAAATGCTGTTATACGGTTATTTTCAGATAAACGCAAAGAAATCTCCTAGGAAACAATATGTTACCATGGATATTAAATAAGTGCAACGCCAGGTAATGCTAAGTAATTTACTTAATTTCGCTAATATTTAGGATTGAGGCAATAATAGCCTTAGCACGGAATCGTCGAAGGTTACGGTTATGCCAATTTCCTGTTTTTTTTTTTGCAACAGCAAACGCAATACGAAGAAGGAGAAGAAGAAGATAAAAATGCGTAAGTACGTCGCGTTTTTTTTTTCTTACATGTGATTTCGCAAGTCGCCGAGGTGTACAAACTTCGTGCAGGATCATACCATCATCATCGTCGTCAACCTATCGGAACCGAAAGGGAAGAGAGGACGAGGAGTGAGCGAGGTTCGAGCGAAAAGTGATTAACAGTAATAAGCGAAACGCTTTTCCAGAAAACAATACGAAATGCAGCTCTAACGGTCCCTCGTTTCCTCCTCCTCCTCTTCTTCGTTTCTTCTTCCTTGTCCTCCTCTCAAGCACTGTTAGTCGGTTTGGTTTGGTTCTTCGGCCTAACAATTGCACGTTTTAACCGCGAGAAGAATGCCTCTCTCTCTTACTATCTATCTCCAGTTTCTCGGAGCAATAAATTTGTGCGCGCTTGATTAATCGATTCAAGAAAAATGAATTACAATTTTTATTATATTGTGTGTGTGTGTTGCCGCATCCTGCACAGCACCGTATACGGATGACTGAAAGAAGAAAAAAAATGCTTACCCATTGTCCGAACATACGAGTTTAATAGATCCGAGAAATTGACGTTTGTGGATGATTGAAAAATGCGTTGCGTAAACCGGCAATCTTGACAATCTTGTCAAAGTTGTTGTTGTTGCTCTTGTTATTGGGTTTTATCGTTAAAAGTGTTTATTAAATGCCGAACGACAATTATAATATATTGTAATTGTCGGCGTAGGCATACTCACTTTTCTTGTATACCTTGAAACGTGCAAATTTACATCGTTCTTAGTAATGTTACAGTTTTTTTTTTCTTTCTTCTTTCAATTTCGAATAACCTAGCGCAACTATTTCATTTGCGTCAATAGAGTTTGTACGCGTTTCAATCATTTCCATTCAAAATCTACAGATTGACAGTTCAATTTGACGTTTATCTTAATGGATAAATTGAATACATTTTGTATAACAACTTAGCATATGGTACATTTAATGATAGAGGTTACGTATTCACATTCCTAATATGCAGTCAATAATTTGACGTTTCGTTTGACAACTGTTGTTGATTTGTATAACCCATTTATTTAATCATTGACATTTCACTTTGTAATTTGACATTTTTATGTGACAGATATTGTTGATTATTGAAACTCTTTTGTTAAATCATTGACAGTTGACTTTGACGTTTCTAAAACTGACTAAAATCGTGAATCGTGCTTAGTTTTAATAAGTTTGTGCACTCTTTCTTTTCTCGAATCTCTCTCCACTTTTTTCTTCATCTGTTCGTTTCTTGTTCTTTTCATCTTCTGTCGTCGCTCGTTGCGCTTTAAAGTGCATATACATAATTTTATAAAAGTGTGTTCGCGGCCCACGCGAATTCACCCACAAGTCGGCTTGGGTTTTTTTTTGTTTTCTTATTATTTTTTCCGCCAAGGGATTCTGACAAAGAGCTGTGTGTGAGAGAGATCCTACACGCCGGTGTGTTCCGAGAAAGTCTCGAGAGAGTCCAGGTGCGCTCGTGTATATGCGTACAAAAACCACCCATACACACTCACACATGCATACACATACACAAAATATATGTATTTCAGTGTGTGTGTGTGTGAGTGGTTGTTCAATTCCATTCGTCTCCTCTCAAACACAATGACACTAATAATCGAAACAATAGCCGTCCGCAATTAGCTATGCAAATCACCCATTTCCATTCCGTGCAAAATCCGTAATAATAACAACGTCTTCTTCATCATCATCGTCGTCGTCTCACCTTACTAATTACTAATTTACAAGAAGAAAGGATAAAAACCCCTGCCGCCTGACGTTTAATATGAAGTCTGGGTTTTTTGACAGGAGAGTTGAACGCTCGAAGCAGCAGCAGCAATAACAACAATCCCTTAAAATTCTTGGAACGAGTCTGAATCGGACGGGCCTCTTCTTCTTCAGATTCAACAGACGGACGTGTTAAAGACCTTTGCGCGAAGTGTGCACGAAAACAAAACACTCGACTCGAATTATGTTTCATTTCGATCGCAACTTAATCCTTGACATTTGACACGTTTCGATTTTAATCTAAATTTGACATATGTCAAATAAAAAAGTTGTGTTTGCGTAAGCGAAACGGAACATCCCGAGATGCTCCAGTTTCATTAAACAAACTCCTCGTTTGTCTTAAAATAATTGCACAATTGCATGTTTAGTCTGAGATCCGAAGTTATTCTTGGATGCAAGCGCGCATCTGCCTCCGCACTTTTAAAATCGCACACATTTCAAACGATTTTCAACTCACTTGTCACCTGTCGAATTCGATTTAATTGAATCATGCAACATTTTGTTTTAATTGTCACTTTGACATAATTCAAAACTGACTTATTTATTTGACATTTTAACATAACCAATAATTGACTTATTTGTCACTCTGACATAATCAACTATTGACATAGCTGACATTTCTACATCAGTTATTTTGTAACATTTGCTCGCGTTTTATTTCAATTTTCCACATATCTCCAGTTTATAAATGTACATTTTATTTAGATGAAGTGAGGACGTTAATCCCCGGCGATATTTATTCGTGGGAAATGTGAGGTCACATTTATACTTTTTTTTTGGTGTGTGTGCGAACATTTTTTTTTTTACTTGTTTTGAAGAAAATATTAGTATTTATCGCCTATTACGAGTCGTTCATCTTATCCAATTAAGTTTTTGGTAGCGATACCGATTTCCTGAGCGACAAAATTTGCATATCATCACCATGGCTTTACAGCTTTAGAAATGACAGATCAGAAATACTACGCATATTTTCATGTGCACTTCATTCACTTGTTCGTGCAGTTACGCAATTGTTTTTTTTTTCTTTCTTTCTTTAATTATTATTTATAGCTTCAAGTAATGACTCATTTTTTTGTAAGTCAATACGTTTTCTTTCCCACTCACTATTTTTTTTTTACAATCGTATACATTTACGTGTTTCAATGAATATTATTTGACAGAAATCGATCTGTCAAACAAAATATTTAACAAAACTAACGAAAAGAAGAAATTATAGTTATAAATTAATTGATGAGTTAACAGAAGATTTTTTTTAAATTACCTCATCGAAATTTGAAATTGAAATTAATGATTAACCTCAATATTTGCAGGATTGACAGATTTCGATGACAGTTGCTGATTTGATGCTGCGGGTTGTCAACTGCGGAAATTCAAATGTCAAAGGTGAATTAATGTCGATAAGTTCCGAGTATTACGCATTACTAATAAGAGAAAAATCCCCAATTTACTTTGTTTCAGATGAAATTCTGCGAATGTTTGACATCGATTTTTAATGTATGCAACATTATGCATTCTGCAATACGTAATGTGTTGGTATACGATTAACCTAAATCTTTGACAGGAATGAATCGAATTAAATGACAGTTGCTGATTTGACGTCTGAGATGTCACCAGTGGACAGATTCAAATTGCTGAAAGTTCAAAGGTAAGAAATAATAAATGATGGTTGAAAATCCAAGTTAAATCACGCAAATTCTCAGTATTAATATCGATTTTCAAAATATTATATTTATTTAATATATTATAAATTCGGAGACGCGGATGACTGATACAATCACTTATTTCCTGCGTAGGATTCTCTCGGCTGTGCAGTCTCTATCTCTGTTTCTTGTGGCCCCATGAAATGAGGCGACCTTGGGCCAATTTTACCTACACTTCTCTCGCTCTACGGACGAAAGTGATTTTATCGAAAGCAAAGAACGACAACCAAAAGACACACATAAAACAATAAAAAAAAGTCGCGATTTGTAAAATTATAAAATAGGAATTATGCAATTCGACACGATTATACAATTTGAAATGACGCGCGAATTATATTTAAGCGAAATTAATTGGTCAACGTGATGCAATTTGCTTTTTTTTTTGGAGAACACTTACCAGTCAAAAGTTGCCAGTTCGGGTGAAACATCTGCTTCTTGTTTTAATTCCTTTATTTGTATGCTTTCAGATTGAAGACATCAAATGGAATCGATGATGGTGATCGAGAAGGAAGGAAGTTGTTGTTGTTGTTCTCGATGTTGTCTTCGTTGCGAATCCCGATGACGATGGTCGAGTGCAGAATTTGATTGGTTCCGATTGTGTTGGTGCAAGGTGGGACCTTTTTTTCCGGCAATTTCCTCCGATTTGTGCGAGGAAACTGTGCAGATGTGCTGCTGTTGCTGCTGCTGCCTGCTGCCCGATGGAACGAGCAGGTGAACTTTCGCGCGACTGTTAAATACTAATAGCAGCAGTTAAAGAGCAACAGAGTCAGTCACCTGGTGTTGTTGAGACAAAAACTAGTTATAAGTTGTCTTAGAGGGATACACACACACACACACACACAATGCTCTCTCCTGCTCTGCTCAGATGCTTGGCGTCTGTACTCTCCGGTTTCCGCGCGCGGAAAACTCTGAACCGGAAATCTCTTTAAATTCACACAGCTCACCTCAACCGGAACTGCTTGCTTAATTCACGACTTCCGGAAATTCCGGAAACGCGTCTACGCATTTGGTTTCTTTCGTATGTTCCTTTTTTTTTTGTTTTTCCCTCGCTCGCTCGCTCGCTCTCGACCACACGACCAAAGCAACAACACTTCATCTCGCATATTCTGACCATATATAGAGAAAAAGAGGCGAAACGCGCTTCTGCGATCGTCGCTCGCTCCGTTCCGATTTGTAAATAACTCGCGCCTTGGGAATAATAACGCAATGCAATATATATATTTATGTTCCATCTAGAGACCTTGGTCCATCGCCCTTTTGATCATCCATCTTGCACGCACTTACACCGCGTCATTAATCAACGCTTCCGGAACGTCAATAATTATAATCTCTCCATGGAAACAACATATTATTTCCCTTAGCAACAACAACAAAAACAAATTACGAAATGCTCTGATAAAACTTTAGAAACACCAATTGTTTAAATATTCAATTCATTGATTATTCAATTTTCATAAAAGTTACTGATTTAGAAAAAAAAACAACGATAATCATAGCAATCATTTACTAAATAATTTATTTCTAACAATTTATTATTAATAATATTAGTTTACATTTTCATAAAAATATTCAAGTATCGTAAAACTCTTATTTACCATTATAATATATAGGCAACTTTACAATCTCGATACATATATGATCTAATCCAATTAGCATATTTAATCTTCTTACATATCTTCCAAACACCGCCACCTAGCGGTCGCTTATACAGTTTGCGAATTAATCTCAATGTAGGCAACTCTTCTCGCAATTCTAATTTTCAACGTTCAAATTACTTTGAAGCGAGCCGTCAGGTGGCACCAAACAAAAAGTAGGCAACTTTTCGAACAGATTGAATTTAAACATTTTACACATTTTATAACTAAACTGTTTATATTTTTTTTTTTCAAATAGTTTAGAAAATTAAAATGATTACTTTACAATTAATATAAATCCATATAATTGAGATATTTTTAATAATTTAAATATATCAAGTTATCATTTTTTTAAAAGAGATTTATATCAATTTATTATTGATAAATTATCATTTGGGTTAAGATATGCGCGGTGAAAGTGAAAGGTTGTTATATAATTAGAACGTATCTTTTTTTAGTATTACTTGTATAAGTGGTTGCCTAAATTTATTGTTGTTTCAGTCACTTTTGATCAGCAGTTATTCGCCACTCTTCTGATTGATTTACTATTGGAATTGATCGTGTTTCCAATTGGATTGATTCCTGCTGAGCTGTGATTTGCGAAAGGAAAGCAGGTAAATTTAATTGATTAATTATTAGTGGTATGAGAATTATGTATGTGAAAGATTGCTGAAAGTGTCTTAACCTAACAAAAAGAAAAGATAAAAGCGATCATTCAAAGTGATGGGTTTTCCAGAGCGATGGGTAAACTAGAGTTAAATCAGACGCTGGGCAAGCACACGGGGCGCGTGTGGAACGTCGCGTGGCACCCGAAAGGCGAGGTGTTCGCATCCTGCGGCGAAGACAAGACCATCAGATTGTGGTCGAAAGAGTTTGGCAAATGGTCGAACAAGGTGATACTTGCCGATGGACACAAGAGAACTATCAGAGAGATCGCTTGGTCTCCTTGCGGAAACTATATAGCGTCGGCTAGTTTCGATGCGACGACTTCGATTTGGGATAAGAAGTCCGGGCAGTTTGAGTGCAACACGACTTTGGAGGGGCACGAGAACGAGGTGAAGAGCGTCGCCTGGTCGCAGTCGGGGCAACTGCTGGCGACGTGCAGTCGGGATAAATCTGTGTGGGTTTGGGATGTGGCTGAGGAGGATGAGTATGAGTGCGCTGCAGTTTTGAACGCTCATTCGCAAGATGTGAAGAAGGTTTGTTTTGATTATTTTACAATAGAGTTTAGCTGAGATTAAAGTTTAATGTTTCAGGTCACATTTCATCCCAACAAGAATTTATTGGCTTCCGCTTCTTATGATAACACTGTTAAGATATTTAAGGAGGATCCTTCTGATAACGATTGGATTTGCGTGTCGACGTTGAGCTCGCACGAATCGACTGTCTGGTCTTTGGCTTTCGATAAGACGGGCAGCAGGCTGGCTACTTGCAGCGACGATAAGACTGTGAAGATATGGCAGGAGTATGCTGCTGGTAACAAGGAGGGAATTCCTACTGGTGATGAGGAGAGCGTTTGGAAATGCGTTTGCACTTTAAGCGGGTACCACACGAGGACGGTGTACGATATCTCGTGGTGCAGGAAAACCGGACTGATTGCGACGGCCTGCGGGGACGACGTGATAAGGGTGTTCAAGGAGGAGGAGAATTCCGATCCGAACGCCCCCAATTTCGCGATGGTCACGTGCATCGAAAAGTCGCATCAGCAGGACGTGAATTGCGTCGCGTGGAGCCCGAACGGCGACATTCTGATAAGCTGCAGCGATGACGGCGAAATCAAAGTGTGGAAGTACACTGAATGATTTCGCACTTTTCGCCAACTTTTTATTACTGTTTATTAAATCGTTTTTTTTTTTAAATTGTAAATTGTTTATTTCCATTCAATTCCAAACTTGTATTTTAAGATTAATATTATTTTTTTATTTATGTTTTTTTTTCTATTTCAGATTTTTTGATGTTGTTACGGAGTTTGTTGCGTAAACAAGTATTGTTTAGTCAGTTTTACGTCAGGAATTTTGGAGTTATGGCGGAGCACAGCTACACGGGAACTTCGCTGCAGGTGATCCTGGATCGTCTGCAGGAATTCGCTCCGCTGAATTTGGCTAGCAGCTGGGATAACGTTGGTTTGCTGGTGGATCCGATGTCCAGGTCGAACATCACCAACATCCTGCTCACGAACGATCTGACGGAGGACGTCGTCGAGGAGGCGGTGACCACGAACTGCGGCCTGATCATCTCCTACCATCCGAACATCTTTCAAGGGTTGAAAAGCGTTTCAAAGAGGTTCCATTTATTAGGAGATCAGCTGAAGTATCTATAAATTCGCAAGTTTCTGTCTATTGCAGGACGTGGAAGGAACGCGTCGTCGTGCAGTGCATCAAGAACAACATCGCCGTCTTCTCGCCGCACACGTCGTGGGATGCGGTCAGGGGCGGAGTCAACGATTGGCTGGCCGAGGCCCTGCCCATCGCCGAATCCCGACCGATCATGGCGTACCAGACCGATTCGGACATCGGTGCGGGCAGATTCTGCACCCTCACCGACGAGATCACCGTCGGCGATGCCGTCGACAGGATCAAGAAGCACATCGGGATCGATCATCTCCGTCTAGCTTTGGCTCGCAACCAAAACGAAGGTCATTCTCATAAATTCAACTTTTCCTGCAGCAAATTACATTTTTTTTTTAATTTTTTTAGATTTCAAGATTAAGACTGTCGCTCTCTGCGCCGGATCCGGCAACAGCGTTCTCAGCGGAACAGAGGCCGATCTCTATTTGACCGGAGAGATGATGCACCACGACGTCCTCGATGCAACGCAGAAGAACACGCACGTCATATTGACCAATCACAGCGATTCCGAGAGGGGATTCTTGCGCAGCTTCCGGAAGCAACTCGAGGAGGACATCTTGAGCGGAGAAGCTAAAGTGATCGTTTCGAAAATCGATCGCGATCCTCTGAAGACCGTCTGAAGGTTTGTCTCCCTTTTTCTCTCTCAATAAAATTCTGATGCACGTTAAATCTACAATTACATTTAACGAACAATTACATCTGTCTTAATCATAAATTTATATATAGTTTAATGGTGTTTATTATTATTATATAATGTCAAATTTAATTGATAACAGTGATGCCAACATAATAATTAAAAAAATAAGGTTGGTAATGAAATCTGCCTTTTTGAAATTGGTAACATTGATTAATTAATTTATTATTTGGAAATAGTTAGAATCATTCGAAGAATTTTATTAATTGTTTAATCTATAAACGAAATTCACAAAGAAAAAAATAATATTTACACTAATAAATATTTGAAATATAAAGCAATTAGCGGCAAATTGATGTATTTCCAAATAGTATGGAAATTGTTCGATAGATGTCGCTACTGTAAAAAATGTTCAGGCAACCCAAGTTGCGTGTCGCGTGCGAACACATTTTTTCTACATTTAATTTCAGTTAGAAATACGGGAATTTCAATTTTAATTAATCAAAATTTGCGTTCTTGCACTTACCTTGCATGATTATTGCAAAAAATACAAATTAATCCATTATTTACAATAGATAAGAACGTAATTGACGTAAAAGTGATCGCAACAAAATTACTATTTTCGATATATAAATTCATTGTTGCATTTATATAATTGATTCCCAAGTGCAATTAACGGAAACGTATTATTTATTGATAAGTCTAGACGATTATTTGCATTTCGTTTCACAGAAACAATAGATCAATGGTTTAATTGGATGCATTTCGAAATTTCGTAAATTTATCGCATTATTTTTATGCGCAAATTAATGGAAATAATTTATTAACAAAAGAAGTAAGAAATATTAATTAAAAGACGTATCGAAATATTTCCATGGTAACAGAGTTACAATTTTGACGTGTTGACATGTAAACAAAACACTGCATTATTTACACGGCACACCGCTTGGAATATTGAGAAACATTCTTTCTTTTTTTTTACCTGAAAACAATTAATTAATTATTTGGGTAAAAAGTTAAGCGAACGCAAAGATTAGCTGAAAAAAAAAATGTGGGGAAATCGATTGCGCTAAAAATACGTTTGAAACGTTTTGGGCTTGGGCACATGCGCCCACCCGAAACCGGATCGAATTCACCTGCGAAGGGTTGATGATAATAAATCGGTTGAAAGAAACGATCAAAGCGGGCGATGATAACAAAAGATGTGCGCTCTATGTGCAAGGTGAACGACGCTCTCTCAAATGAACAAATGAAAGAAAATAAAAGAGGGCGATCGCAGCACGCCACTGTTTTTCTAAAAGCCATCACGTGATTATCTATATACTTACCTATATATATATATAGTTTTTATGTGTATATTACAAGTGTGTGTGTATATATATGAAATACACACGTGAAAATCTTTTTAGCCGGATAGAGCTTAGCACGCTGCGGATAGGTTAGAGCGATATATAGTAAGTACATAGTGTGCATACAAAGTATATAGTGGGCATGTGTGTGAGTGCGTGTAGAGTGAGATATGGTAGATATATATGGGCGCGTTGTGGTCGGGTTAAATGAAATAGTCCCGGCTTTTCGTTGATGACCGACGGACGGACGGACGGATGCAGCAACAAGTTAGTTTAGTATAGTATAGTTTCTAGTATACGTGCTGCCGTGTTGTAGCGTGCTTGCTATTACCAGAGGGGCGTCATCCTTCGCGCGCACTACATATACATTTCAAGTGTACTTACTAATCCACATCAACAAATTACTTCTCTCTTTTCAACAAGAGATTTGTTTGATTGATGCCGCACCGAATCGCCAGCAGTAACTACTGTAAGTCGTCCACTCTTTCATCATCATCCGGATCAAGCCACCACCCCAAAATCCGCTCGATGACACCGCCTTCCCCATTCATAAACAAACGCATCCAAATTAAACCTAACAAATCAACCGTTTTTTACCATTTCGCTTTTCACGGTTCGCCTTCTCCTTTGTCGCCTATCTACGAAACGCGCACCGGCTGATAACGAGAAAAAGAGTAAATTAAATATTTACCTGAAGTCTTATCGTTTCGCTGACAAAATAAACTTTACACTTTTTCGGTAACTGTCACCCATTCATAATTTTAGTTGTCAAAGTTGTCAACGGCACTCGAATTAATTGGAATTCATCTAATTACCAACCTCGATAATTAAAACTCACTAAAAATTCACCAATTCATTTGTGATTAATCACTTCGACGCATTAACAAAATAATTAATTTAATCGTAAATTATCGATAATAACGTAATCGTTTCGAACAATTTAAGTTGGCACCTGACAATTTAACTAAACTAAAATGTCACTAATTGACAATAAATTATTCACGATTCATTAATTTTCTCTATTCACGTAGCATATTAGGAATTGTTTATCGCTTGTAATTAAGTTGGCATCTGCGAATGTTGTTATCGATTTCATCAATTCGTTCTTATTAACCTTCCTTTAATTGGTGCACGATTCGCGCTTTTGTTTAAATACCAACACATAAACGAAATGAGTTTTAGTCAAAAATAAACATATTTTTATTTATTTTTTTATATATTGGTAACTAATAATTATTTGTGGATTGCACCAATTAAGTTAGTGTTTTCTTATTGTGTTACAGTTGGTAATAAACAATTGCTTAATAATGAGTAATTATTGAACTCATTAATTGGCAATCAATCTGAAACGTAAACAAATTAACTGAAATTGCAATTTTTAGGAAAGAATAATTACTTAATTTACTCGATTTGATAGCGACGAAAGGAAAAACGTGTTTCTTTGATGACACCTCAAATTTGACACAAACAAACGATTTGTGCATGTTATCAGTTGGTATTTACTAGTAATTAACTAAAAAATAAAAAAACACTAAAAGGTAAATTGGGTTGCGTTAATTTGTTTACAATATGTAATCGATGTTATTCGAAGAATAAGTTTAAATAAACTTAAGTTAAGATTAATAATTAAGAAGGAAATAAATAATCGCAACTGTTTTTTTGTCCTGAAACTGGGCCGGAAGTGAAGCGATAATTTTTTTCGTCGACTATTTCATGCACGTGCCAATGCCAAAATTAAAAAAAACGTTATACAACGTCATGTACATGTCAAATTATACGTGACGTTTTAATTGTCAAATTGACATAACACCAACAATAACATAATAATTTTTTTATACACAAAGAAAACTAGAGCAATCACGTTAATTGAATGCACGCAATTAAATATTAAAAAAATCAAATTAAACGATACAAAAAAGAAACTGGTGGCAGAAATGGAATAGCAACGTGTTTAAGTTAACACTTTTAAATTAGTTGACGGAAATGTATACGCATTTTCAGCATTTTCATCATGTTTTTTGTTTTTTTTGCTAAGCATGCTTATTATAAAGTGAAACGATTGCAGTTTTTTTTTTGTTTGAAACAAAAGATTAACGTGTTTTTCAAGGAATTTGGTCAATTAGGATAGGTTGATTGTGTGCATAATCGTTAAATTTTTAAAAACTTTCCTTAAAAGTTAATTATTAAGTTTAGATCTTAACTAAATTCAAGTACACGGCGATAAATATAAATGTAACATTTGCATTATTTTTTTTTTGATAACATCAAGAGTGCTCGCATTTAGAAAACTTATCGTCGAACAACATCTACGCACTTCAGACGTCGTCTAATCAATGAAATTACTCATTGCAAAATCTATATTAATAATTCGAAGAAAACTACAACATTTTTTCCATACGAAAAAAAAAACGAAAACGTATATAAAACAAATGAACTGACGAGTTTACGTTACGCATACTCTTACGCAATTGTTTCTTACAATTAATATTAATGAACCGAGACCTCATCTTAATACGGTATTGACCTAGAAATTAAAGGAAGCAAGCAAAAAAAAATACACGCGTTACAAAATCGTCGATCTTTTCGATGCGAAAAACACCGATAATCGTGGAAACTAGTTTAGTTTATTGTATAATTTGCGATAAGATTTGGATCGAGACACAATAAATACGAAGTGAGTCATTTCGGACTCACCCGAGAAATGCATCTCACGTGATGCGATGCGTTACGTTACGTCATACGTCAAATTTGACATTTGAACATTTCAAAAATGTAAAATATATTGCATAACTTTTCATTACCACCAAAAACAACAAAAAAAGTAAATAAATATTGAGAGAAAGTCGAGAATATCTTTAATAAAATTAGAGGGGAAACACCGGTCTTTCGTCCTTGAGCGTAACATTCTTGATTTTTAAATTTTACTATTAAATTTCAATGAACAAAAAGATAGGCAACACATCGAACTCTCTTAGATTAATGTAAAGATTTTAATTCTTTCGAAATAGAACATTTTTTGCATAATTTACACGTTTTTTTTTTAGTATCTTTCGAAACCTTTGATCGCTGTAAAGTCAAGATAAGTGAAGCGCGCTTCCACTCCGAAAAGCACTTATCTAAAGCGCCAAATCCGAGCGTGAGTGGACTAAAATCGCCAAGATTAGAACAATGCGAAATTCATTCAGTAAAATTTGAAAAATTATACTTTTACGAAGAACAATTTAATTTGAATGTAAATAGATTTAATGATATGTTTGGAGAACAGAACAATAATTTCCATTTCCTGTCCAAAATTGTTTTTTCATATATATTGCGGTCTATTTATTTACTGCAGCGGACGGGAAAATAACGCACGATCGTTAAAGCCTTGCAAATCGGTGGCATTTGTTTTAAATATTTAATATTTCCGTTGCTGGGTACAACGAAACAACAAAAATGTTCGAAGCATTGTTGTCAAATTTATAAATTTTGATTGAGATTTCAATTTTAATTTTTAATTCAAGCATTTGTGTACTGTTATTTATATTGATTACGTATTCAAAACACGGCGATTTAATAACAGTGCTTCCTATAATATAATTTCTTTGATTTAAGCAACGTTTCAACTTTAGTTTTGTTAATGTCAGTGCATTTTTCTTCTTCTTGTTCAGATTATGGATGTTCTTGAAGATATGCCGAAAGGTCCTTTGGACGTGTACAGGAAGCAGGCGTCCTTCAACTGGAAGAAATTGAAGTACGTTTTCGAAGACGAAGATCTTTATAAACTAAAGGTAAAGTTATTATTAATTAAAATTTTCTGGTTATTTTTAAGTTTTTTTTATTTTTTTTTTCGCAGTTGCACATATGGAAAACGCTCGAGGAGGATCCGATCTTCAGGAGGCCGGAAGTGGAGTTGACGACGGAGGAAATGAAGAGGAGGACGGCGATACAGTTCCATCAGTTCTGCAAGTACAATTTCTTTCCGTCGGACATCTCGTCGTGGCCCTACAAACAGAAGGTTCGTCAAATTTATTCAAAAACTTTTAAGTTGGTAATTATGTCATTCGCCATTTGTATTATTTTTTGTTTCGAACAGTTGGCATTTCGTTTTATAAACAAATTATTTGTTTTTTTTTTTCAAATTAGTTGACAGTTTGAATTGTGTACAAGTTTAGTGTTTTTTTATTCAAAAACTTAATTAAGAGTTTATTAATTGGATAATTAAGAAGTAATGGTTAATTTATGAGCTACGACTTCCTCTCTTTGTAGCCAAAGAATGGATAGTTTGTTTCTCAACAGTTGAGAAGTTTCTCTCCGAGCAATTGACAATTTGTTTTCGAACAGGTAACTGTTTTGTTTTTTTTTTGTGTAGCTTGATTGTTTAATTTATGAAATTATTATAATTTTGTTGATTTTGCAGACCAGGATGGTGATGACTCTGAACGAGTCAATAGCCGTTTGCTTTCCAGATATCTCTGTGAAGCATGCAATTGGCATGAGTCTCTTCACCAATTCCTTGATGACTTTGGGCACGGAGAGACACAGGGCCATCTATGAAGCTGTTTGGAACAGGAAGGTGCGTGTCTCAGAATAGTACTGTTTTTTTTTAAATTAATGTTTTTGTAAATTTAGATTTTAGCCTGTTTGGCTCTGACCGAGGTGGCTCATGGAAGCAACACGAAGAACATGAGGACGATGGCCACGTTCGATAAGAGCACGCAAGAGTTTGTAGTGAATACTCCCGATTTTGAGGCGGCCAAATGCTGGGTGGGCAACTTGGGTAATTAAGCGATTTCTTCTCTTGATTTCTGCAGATTTATTGAATTGCTTTGATTTTTTTTTTGTGTAGGAAAAACGTGCACCGTTGCTCTACTGTTCGCGCAACTCTACACGAACGGTCAATGCCACGGTTTGCACGCCTTCGTCGTTCCCATCAGAGACCCGAAGACGTTGATGCCGTATCCGGGGATCGTCGTCGGCGATTTAGGCGAGAAGATTGGATTGAACGGAATCGACAATGGGTGAGTCTCGATCGCCGCAATTGAGCTGCAAACTTGCAATCTAAACTGTTCGTTCGTAGATTCATCATGTTCCAAAACTACCGGATACCCAAGGAGAACCTGCTGAATCGTACAGGCGACGTGACTCCTGACGGAGATTACGAGAGCAGTTTTTCTGATCCCGCGAAGATCCTGGGCGCCGCATTGGAGAACCTCTCGACGGGGCGCGTCGGCATCATGCAGGAATCGACGAACAATCTGATTTGCGCCATGACCATTTCCGTACGATACGCGGCTTGCAGGAAGCAGTTCGGTCCCAACGGTGGCGAGGAGGTCACCATCATCGAATATCCTCTGCACGTGAGTAAAAAAAGATGCTTATTTTTAATGCTCGCGTATATTTGGTTGCATACGTAACGATTTTTTTGAAATTGTCAAATTAAAACACTTTCTAATTGAAATATTGGACTGTTTGTTTTCAGCAATGGAGGTTGTTCCCATATGTAGCTGCAACGACGGTGATCAAGCTGTTCGTGAAGGGTTTCACGCAGGATTATTTGAGTGCTGTCGAGCAGACGACGAACTCGAACGGAGGTGCACGAATGGACAGCCTCGTAAGTTGACGACGTTTTTTTGTAATGTATGTAATTTTGTACTGATGATGGTGTTTTCAGAGCGATCTCGTTTCGGAGATTCATGCGATCGTCTCCGGGTCGAAACCGCTGATAACGACGACCTGTATGGCCGCGATCCAAGAGAGCCGCGAAGCTTGCGGCGGTCACGGTTACCTGAAAGCCGCCCGATTGGGTGAGCTGCGAAACAACAACGATCCGTCTTTGACTTATGAAGGCGACAATAACGTCCTCATCCAGCAGACGAGCAACTGGTTGATCAGGCAATGGAACAACGTGCTCGAGGGTCAAGGTACCAGCTGTCCACTCAAGTCGTGCGACTTCTTCGCCGACCACAAGCGCATCTTATCGGGCAAATTCCAAAGCAGCACACCGATATTATCGTTTGAATGTGAGTATATCTGTACACTAGACTATCGACTATAATTACAATTTGACTAATTCGTTTCACAGTCATCAAGGAGTGTTACGAGTGGTTAATTACCTACCTGGTTTCCACGACGAATGATGCGCAGAATCAGCTGGTGGCTAAAGGCATCAGCAAGTTCGATGCCAGGAACCAAACGCAAGTTTACAAAGCGGCGATCCTCTCGAAGACGTACACTGAGTACCTGGCGTTGCGCTACTTCTGGAGCAATCTCTCCAGAGCCGACGACACAATGCTGCCGACGCTCAAGAACCTGGGTTACCTCTACGCCCTGTGGTGTCTGGACAAGCACCTGGTGTACTTCTTCCAAGGTGGATACGCGTCCGGTCCGCAAATGGTCGAATCCATAAAGAGCAACATCGTGCGTCTCTGCGAGACGCTGAAACCGGAGGTAGTCGGTGTGATGGACGCCCTCGCTCCACCCGATTACATCGTCAACTCCGTTCTGGGCAGAGCCGACGGAAAGCTCTATCAGAACCTCCAGCGCGAATTCTTCGGCAATCCTGGATCGATGTCGAGACCGAGCTGGTGGCACGAGGTGATCGTGCAGGATGCACCAGACATCAAGTTTCTATCGAAATTATAATGATTTCCCTCTTTTAAATTCAATTTATTATTAATCTGCAAATTCAAAATCCGTAGATTAACAACTTACTTACTTACTTCATCTAATTGAATCTATTTTAAACGTATTTTAGCGTACTTTTACTCGCAGATGCAAACGTAAATACACACAAACACACACACAGAGATAAATGAGTATATTTTTATTAAAATTATTCAATATACAATTCTTGTTGTTTAATGAGTGATGACCATGTATATTATATATTCTATGATGAATCTTCTGGAAACCCTCACAATTCCTTCTTCTAATATATAGCATTAGGTGAAAACAACTTGGATAGATTATTTATTAAATGTTAGACCAAAACAACAAACAAATAAACTTAATTGCATTTAGTTGTATAGAGATATATATTGTATATTGTAATTGACTATCGGACGAGAGGTGTAATGTAATTTATTTTCCGAATAAAGATTTAATAAAGATGATATTTCATGTGTTTTTTTGCAAATTCAATACACTTTTTTCCAATATTCTACAGCTCATAGCAGGCAACTCGGCAGCAGTACGAAGATGCAAGTAGACTCGTTGGAAAGGTGAGATCTTCAGCTTTCATCCAAGTGGTCGATGATGTAATTATCTCAAGGGGTTGTCGAGTTATTGACGAAAAACTGAATTACATCCATTTTTTGACAAATTCTATTCACTTTTTTTCCATTTTCTAAAGCTTATAGCAGGCGACTGGGCGACAGTACGAAGATGCAAGTAGACTCGTTGGAAAGGTGAGATCTTCAGCTTTCATACAAGTGGTCGATGATGTAATTATCTCAAGGGGTTGTCGAATTATTGACGAAAAACTGAAAAAAAATCGAAAAAAACGTCGTTTTTCTCTTACGTAACGAACATTAAGTAACTTTTGTTACATGAAAAGTTGCGCAATACTTGCGTGGATGTTATTATGCAATAAAATCATAAAAAAGTTTATTAATTTTCGAGTTATTATCGAAAAACTGAATTACATCCGTTTTTTCACAAATTCTATTCACTTTTTTTCCATTTTCTATAGCTTAT